TGAACCCAGCAGCAATGCAGTAACCTGCACTCATAACGTTAGCGGCAGTACAGCAGTAGTTCACACTCAAATTAACCGCAACAGCATTGTAGCCTTGTGTTCCACTGCAGTTAGCCACACTCACATTGATTCCAGCAACATGCATATAAAGAAAATATCATGAGAAGCAACTTTTTCACACAGAGAGTGATGCATGTATGGAACAAGCTGCCAAAGGAAGTGGTGGAGGCTGGTACAATTACAACATTTAAAAGACATCTGGATGGGTACATGAATAGGAAGGGACTGTGGGATACGGGCCAAATGCTGGCAAATGGGACTAGATTAATTTAGGATATCTGGTCGGCATGAATGAGTTTGACTGTTTCTGTGCTGTATATATCTATGACTCTATGACTATGACTCTGGTTCTATTGGTACTGAGTATTCCTATTCCTCTCCTCCTCCTTAACTTCAGCAATGCAAGTACAGCTGTTCAGTTAAGTTGTTCAAACATTTGGCACGGAAGTATCGATATATGAGGAAATATCAGGAATGCAATGTTTGTTTTCCATTTGAGATCTTTGGGCTCTTATTGCCTTCCCAGTGCACCTAATTATGCCATTATTGCCCCCAGTCTAAAAATGCAGCTCCCACTCTTCCCTCCCATCCCTATTACCGTGACTCTCCTTTCTGCATCCAAGCTTCTTCCCCCCTTTCCCTAGGATTCCTCCAGACAATTGTGCCCTTTAATAAATTCCATTCCCCACCATTCCTTTAGCTAAACTTCTTGAGTTAAGCTCCCTTTTGAGTGCAATCCCTTTTTGTTTCAAGCCCCACTTACTTGTCCTGGTCAGGTATGTTGGCAGCAGCCAGTGACTCTTTGCAAGTTTGTTGACTTGTCAGGCTGTAAACAGTTAACAACAGCAAGGAAGGCTGCATACAACCAAGACTTCTCATGAACTGTTTGACCTGGTGAGCCTTTGCATGTGCAAAGAAATGTATTGGCTATTGAAGGAACCAGGTTTCTGAAGAAGTTTAAGGAAGAACTCTAGTCCACCAGATACATGCCTCTGTGTGGTTTGTGAAGACATGTGTTTCCTGTTTTTACCAAACAAGATTGCGCCTGTGAACGTAACTCTCAGAGGCTGGGGTGCTGAAGTGTATTTATGGAATGCTAATAGAAGGTAGAATAAGTTTTCAAAGGCTGGTCTTCCTGAAACATTCTGACAATTCAATATCAAAACTTTAACCCACCATCAGGAAACTGAATTATTGCCTCATGTCCAATTAGGTTCTTCCACCTACCCTTCTAAAAGCTCCAGGGAGGCCTGGAAGATTCCACCCATGGTCATTTTCACTGAGGTCAGTTTTGTATTTGGATTACTTATTAACAAGAGTTTAAATTTTAACCAGGTGTGATTTAAACCATGTCCCCAGGACATTAACTCTGGATTACTAAACAACTAAATCACCTAAGCTACTATACTTTGAGCACAAGAGGTGGGACATTATGTTGAGGTTGTACAGGACATTGGTGAGGCCTCTTCTGGAGTTCTGTGTGCAGTTCTGGTTGTCCTGTTATAGGAATGATATTATTAAACTGGAGAGGGTTCAGAAGAGATTTACCAGGATTTTGCTGGGAATGAAGGGTTTGAGTTATGGAGAGAGGCTGGGTAGGCTGGGACTTTTTTCACTGGCACATAGGAGGTTGAGAGATGACCTTATAGAGGTTTATAAAATCATGAGGGGTATAGATAAGGTGAATAGCAGGTGTCTTTTGCCTAGGGTGGGGATGTCAAGACAGGGGACATTTTTAAGGTGAGTTGAGAAAGATTTAAAGAAGACTTGAGGCGCAATTTGTTTTTTACACAGAGAATGATTCATGTGTGGAATTAACTTCCAGAGAAAGTGGTGTATGCTGGTATAGTTACAATATTTAAAAGACATTTCG